GACATGGTTAGTAACGTTGTTGATGTTACTAACTGATTTAGTGTCTAGTAAAGTTCTTGGATCCTTTAGCAAACTAGGATGAAGTGGTTGCAATATATTTAAAAGATTTTTTAAAGATAAATTATTCATATTATTATCTAATGCCCACTGACCAAGATTTGATGATAGACAATCTTCGCTTGCAGAAAAGGACTCTTTGCTCTCATTATCAGAACATGAAGGAGAATGTAAGTCTGATGGAGATGAAAAACCGGAAATACCAACATAATCGTAATCAGTGTTAGTTCAACTTTGTAATTCAGCAATGTTTATAGCAAAATTAGGTAGACATATATCATTATCTAAATTAGTATCGCAGGTATTGATTTGAATATCTGTAACAGTTGTACATTTTGTAAAATTTTCTTCAATCAAAATGTTATTACTTTGTGATTTGTCGAATATGTTTGTAAGATGAGTACCAACCTTTTCAAGAATTTTTCTTCTCTTAGTAGAATAAGACATTCCACTATTCTCCATTTAGTTTGTGTAAATTTAGTTATGCCATTTACCATGCTAACGGTTTATGAATTCTGTTTTACTAATGGCATTTGGTAGCCCTTATATTTAATAAAACTTGGTCGGCCCATTATATTTAATAAAATTCAGCCGTCAGCCTCGCATATGTTGAGTCAATACTAAATGCCATCACTAAATCGACATGATTTGCCGGCATTAAACCATGCACTCGGCCGATGCAGATGTTGCATAAAATTCTTTCCGACAGTTTAGCATATATTGGGCCACTGCCATATGCCAGCAGTAAATCAATATATGCTTGCCGGCGGTAGAACTCGCGTTAGGCCTATACCGTAAGTTTAAATATGTTACGTGGGTACGTTTTCTATTCTGCTCCAGTACTTTTTCTTGCCTTTGTAGTTTAAAAACTTTGCCATTATTTTTTCTTGCAAGGTTCTTCGTTCGTTTTTGCAGTTCTATGTTCTCTTTTTATATGTACTTTTTTGTTAATAATAAGTGTTTCGTTTATAAAGCTTTTTACTTTTATTTCACTTTCCTCCCTGGTTTAGTTATCTTTTTCTTCTAGTCCCTCGAAAACGTAGATTATTACTTCTTCTCTTATCCTCCAGTTCAGCAGTTTTGACTTTAAATTCTACACCAATATTCATTTTTTTGCTGTCTTCAATATTACTTTTAAGTTTTTTTTTTAAGTTTAGTTGATTCATTCATTGTTTGTTCATAGCTAGTACTTTGAAAATTAATTGCATCATTTATAACAACATTATCTTTTTTAAGGTTGTATGTTCTATTTTTAATTGTTCTATCTTTTCCTCGAGTTTTTCAATCTTCCAGTAAAAATTTTTATTATCGCGTTTTTATGCACTTCTAGTATTTCTTTTACTTGTGTTATTGTTAAACTTTTAGCCATTTTGAAAATAAAACTACGCTTTTTACTACCGTAAAGGCTTTAGGCAAAAAATAATTACGAATAAATATAATTACTATGACTTATAATTACTGCTAAATATAATTACTACAAAATATGTTTACGACTTAATATAATTACTATTTAATATTATTACGACTAAATATAATTACTACTAAAACATAATAATAACGGAATTATATAATTACTACTAAACATACTTAGTATTAAAGCTAACTCAGACTAAATATAGTTACAACTAAATATAATTGCTTTTAAATATAAACACTTCTAAATATATTTACTATTTAATATAATTACGAGTAAATAGAATCGCTGTGAAATATAATTACTGCTAAAAATATAATTACGACTAATGTAATTTCTATTAAATATAAATTCTAATAAATTGTAATTATTACTACATTTAATTACTACGAAATATAGTTACGACTAAATATATAATTACTATCAAGTATAATTTATATTAAATATGAATAGTATTAAAAATAATTTTAAATATAAATTCTACTAAATATAATTATAACTAAATATAATTACTACCTAATATAATTACGACTAAATAAAATCACAATTAAATATAATTACTATTAAATATAATCACTACTAAATAAAATTACGATTAAATATAATTACTACTAAATGTAATTATTACTAAATACAAATACTACTAAATATAATTACTTTTAAAATCTTATATAAAGTGTTTTTAAAAATACAGATTAAAGACTTTGTTTTAAAAATTATGAAAATGATAGGAAAAAAGTATAAAAATATTTGACAAAAAAAACGTGTCACTAATAAACTGCTATTTTATGTGTTTACTATTGTTAAGAAACTTATATATTATTATAACAAACATGCCGCAGATACTAAATATTGCTTTTCAAGAGACCAACAATAGCTATTCGCTGCTGACAAAAGTTCAATAAACTCAAAAAGATATGATTGTTATAAAACAAATTTCAACATACCTATGGACATTAGGATTTGATTTCTATTTAAAAATTTGATTTAATTAAGACAACAAGATTTGATTTTTAACTAAATTGATTCAGTATAATAAGTCTAATCTTTAAAAAGATGAATTGTTTGTTGCTTTTATTAACCATAGGAAATAAAATAAAAATAAGCTGGTTTAGATAAAGACTGAATATAATGTTATTGTACCTTCGTTATATTATATCTTTAATTTATACCTTGAATTGGTTATTGTTTCACAGCTATCACATATACATTAGGCCATTCTTTTTTAGTAAAAATTTTGGTTTTCGGGAGTGCGTGTATAAAATAATCACTAAAATGTTTACTTTTATTTAGATAGTCGTTAAGATATTTTAATCTAACGACATTTGACTAAAAAGTGTTTTAGCTTTGAATTGAATCTATTCTTAAAGTACGTGAGTTTGAAACAAAAGAGTTGAGATTCTTACTGAATTTATTCAAACTTCTTATTTAATTCCTGATGATAAATTAAGTGAAAAAAATACATTATTAAAGATTTTTATTTCTAAAGTTGTTTCAGATCTCTAAAACGTGTGTTAGTCGAATGTAGAAAAAACTTTTAGTGTCATATTTAAATTCCTTGACTCCAAAAACATTCTTTGACTTAAAATATGAATTTAACCCACGCTTATCTATTAGTTAACCATTATTATCTATTATCTAATAGTAGTTAATATTATCTATTATTTAATAATTTGTTATTTAATTCGCCTCACTTTGTGACGTTAAGCCTAACAAAAGAAAAAATAAGATATAATAATGTTTGTCTAATCACCAGTGTCGTTAGAGGACAATTGAAATTTGTTTATGTGACTGCACATAAAATATTTCACCCTATTTATTAATTTAGTTTGTAAAAGAAGATTTAAAAATATTTTGTAAAATAAGATTTCAATTTTTTCATTTATTGTTGTATGCTAGTCAGTTTCCAGTTTAAGTTAATAACTATAAAATATAATAAAAATTATAATAAAGCAAAAGTTATAAATAAATACTAATTATAAAAAAACCGTACAAACATAATTTAGCAAACATTAAGAGATACGTAAAAGTAAAAGTATATATATATATATATATATATATATATATATATATATATATATATATATATATATATATATATATATATATATATATATATATATATATATATATATATATATATAGACCATGGTGCGATAATATTTAACATACAGTTGAGACATCAGCACAGCTTCTAGCTCTTGTTGCGCTGATAGTTCTAAAGAATATTGTTGTGCAACAACAACCCATATTGATGAGAAGTAATGAAAATGTGGCATTAACTCTACAGGGTAATGTCGTAATGAAGATCATGTAAAATGCATTAAAACTCATTATAAAAAGATCGCAGGGCTATCTTTTTGTTAAGAGCTTTGATGCCAGTGTGTATCTTTTTTAATCATTTAACGTGGAGGTAATATTATTTTGTGCATTTAATAATATTTCTTACTTTAGAAACAAATTTGTAACATATGCTTGATATCATTTAATAATATGTTTTAAATGTTTTTTAATTACATTCGTTTTTGAAGAGTTGACAGAAGTAAATTTAAGACACGTTTACCTTAACAAACCCATGACACAGTTTACCTTATAAAACCAATGACATGGTGTACCTTTAAAAAGCAAATCTAAATATAATATGATAGGGGTGAATCCTTAAAAATTAGCAATCGGTTTTTTTTAAAAAATAAAAAAGTAGGTTCCATAATAAGATTTAACATTAACCAGTAAAAGGGGTGGTGCAACCTCCGAATTTTTCTCTGAAATTAGCGTAGTGTTCCTTATTTACTATTTTTCACTTTTTAAATTTAAAAAGCGAAGGTAACGTGTGTATTGCTTATCAATGTTTATAATTGAAATTTTTTTGTTACACTTTTAAAAGCAATATTTGACTCAGATCTTAATTTTTGTTTTTTTACTATTTTATTTGACACACAAACAAGACTATTGAATTGTTTATACGAGTTTATTGTAATGCAAATAAAGTTTCATCTAAGAGCATATCAAATGAATATTTATTTTTAGAATAACCGTGACCTAACCATGAGATTAGTTGTGGTATTGTCGTGTGATAAGATTAACTACGCTGTTATTTATGTGATTAGATAAGTTATCCATATTTGGATATGCAATAGTAAAAATCGCTTACATATCTGTAAAAAATTTGTTATTAATAAAGATTATTTTTTTTTTGATTATAACAAAATCCAGTTTTCATAATGTTTATTATATACACTCGTCTTGTGATGTTAATATTGAACACATGTATCATTGGGTTTTTTTTTTTTTTACTGAATTGATAAGCGTTAGTTTTGATGCTTACTAAAACGTTTGTTAACAAGTTTTTGCAATTACAGTTAGAGCAAGCAATTTAATAATATTATTTGCAATTTTTGACAAATTTTTATTTTTTTGATTTTGTTTGCATTCTTTTAATATAGTTTGTAATATTTTGATGGTGTTTCCAATTTTTTGTTTTGTTTTCAACTTTTTTGCAAGAATATAAAATATTTTATTATGAAAGCATTTGTCTTTTAGAAAAAATGAAACACTTTATTTTGATTGGCATTCTGGTTCAATCCTATTCATTTGAACTTCAAAGTTTTTTGAATGATCCTCAGACTCCTATGAAAGATCTGGAATGGAGAAGATTTAAAATTAAGTTTGGCAAATTTTATAGCAACGATGATGAAGAAATATCAAAATATTTGAACTGGAAAAAGAACAATGAAAATATAAAAATACATAAATCCGAAAACCACCCTTTCGAAATAGGAATAAATCAGTTTTCTGATCTGGTAATATTTTTTTGTTAATGTAACATGTATGCCTTAAAAACAATAATTAAAACTGCGTTCCTTAGTTAAAATAAAAAGTATAAAAATTTAAGCATCACCCAAAAATATGTGCCAACAAATTCTTTTTAAATTGCTTGTTTATAACTAAACTTCTCAAACGTTTCATTAAAACTAAAAACCTAAACTATATTAATAGCTAATAAAGTTGGTAAAATAATAAATTGTTTGAAAATTTTAAGAACTGTTTTTTAATAATGATATAATATTTAAAACTTTGCTATTACGCACAAACTATTTAGAAACCCAATATTGAAAGTTTTGAACAACCTGTCACGGGAGTAAGGGGCGGCGGTGATGTTTAGATTTTTTTATTGGGTGGATTTTAGATATTCTGGTATGATTGTGGTTAAGAAAAGGAGAGCATTTTCAAAACTTATTAAAATGTCATATAATTTTAAACATTCTATTTAAATTTATTTCTTCACTTTTGAACAATGCGCTGGGTTAAATATATAGAAACATATAAAAAAATAATTTTATTAGGCGGTGCAATATAGAAGATTGCCAAATCGCCCATATTGAGCCCCATATGAAACGCACTTGCTGTCACGTTTTAAAAAAAAGAATAGAAAAATGTAAACTAACACACAGTTAAACTTATATCATGTGGCAAATTATTCTAAGTTGTATTATAAGTTTTAATATTGGGTTTTTAATAAGAATATTGAAATTTTTATATAGCAATAAAAATAAATTTTGATTTTTATAATGTGAATTTATTTGCAATTAAAAACCCATTATAAAAACTTATTTATAACTAGTCATATGATACATCTTAAAATTAAAAAAAATTCTTGACAAAAAACAGTTTCAAGATTTTTAAGTTTCAATAATTATAAGTAAATAACCATTACAAGTTAAAATAAGTTCAAAGTTAAATATCAAAATAAAATAAATAAAACAAAACAAAGTAAATAAAACAAAGTAAACAAAATATGCAATACTAACAAAATAAATATGATAAAATAATTAATTAAGCAACTAATTAAAGCAATTAATTAAACAGTTATTTAAGCAACTAATAAATAAAACAAAGTAAACAAAGTAAAGAAAATAAAAATAAAATGAAGTTCAAGATTAAATAACAATTTACTAGAAAAAAGAAGAAAGATCCTATAAAAATAAAAAAGATAAGTTTTATTTCTCTGTATTTTACTGAACATAGGTTCTATCAAACATACGTTTAATGCATATTTATTTTCATAATAATACTTTTTTAATTTTTGTTTATATGTCTTAATATTTGTTTTCACCATTTTCTTTGTATTTTTCACTTTCTTTTCATCATATACTACTAAATTAACTAAAATTGTAAATTTGTAAAATCTTAGAAAAATATTCTTAAAAAATATACAAAAAAAGTTTTATTTTATAAATTATTAGAAAAACAAATGAAAAAATAAAAAAACATGGAATGTTGTAAAGCAAGTAATTTGGAATTTATTATGATAATATTTTACCAAAACACATCTCATTATTAAATAGCTAATTTAGGTCGGGTGAATAAAAATAGTAACTTACTCCTAAATTGGTAAGTTTTACGTGAATAAAAACTTGAAAAAATTTTGCTTAAGTTTTTATTTACGAAAAGATGAGCAAATACTGAGTAAATTGCTTAACTTTAAGTAAATAAAATTTGAAGAAAACTCCTAAATTTTTTAATCACGTAAAGCTGACAATTCACTGAATAAAAGCTATTGCTCATTTTTATTCACCAGACCTTTTATGTGTGTACTATTGTCAAGAAGCTTATTTATCAATATTTCAAACATACCGCTAAGACTAAAAATTGCTCTCCAAGAGACCAACAATAGCTCTCAGCTGCTGACAGAATTCCATTGAGCTTAACAAGATTTGTTTATTATTTAAAAAATCAATACATTTATTGAAAACAAAATTTGATTGTTACTAAACAAGATTTAATACACTTATTGACAAGAAAATTTGATTGTTATTTAACAACATTTAATGCAGATTTAATAATAAAGATTTAATTTATTGACAACAAGATTTGAATGATATTTAACAAAATTCAATGCACTATTTGAATTTAAGATTTGATTTATATTAAAAAAAAAAAAACAAGATTTAATTTCTTTTTTTAAGATGACTTAGTAGAATGAGGTTTATCTAAATAAAATGAATTGTAAGATACTTTTAAAAATCATAAGAAAATAATAAAAACGCTAATTTTGACAAACTATGGTCCTTGTACTTTTGTTTTTTTATATCTGCACCTTTTTTCTCTTTATTCGTTTATTGTTTCCGGCTAGCACATATACAATGGGCCAAAGTATAAAAAACCATCGCAAACATTGATCCGATAAATACAAAACAACAAGCGGGTTGTACACATTGGGTTGTTACTCGTAAAGTTGCGACGTTGCTTGTGCTAAGTTATAAAACTTATATTTTAAACTTAGTCAATATTAAAATATCAAACCACAACCAAATCAAATATAATGAATGTTTTAAAACTGATGGATACCAAATTGCTCTAAAAAAATTTTCTATTTACGCATAAATTTTTAATTTCATTTTGGTTTAAACGAACAAGTAAACTAAAATGATAAAAAAGTAAATAAAAAAATAAATAAAATAAATAAAGAGTTGTAAAACTTCTTTATTGTAAAATCTTAATATTATACTAACCCAAAATAGTGTAATTTTATAAAATTGTAAATATTTATTGTAAAATAAAATAAAATTAAACTCTGCAGTATCCATAATATTTTTAAGTTTCCTGATTACCTCTTGTTGAGTTTCGTTATTCTGGAACATGCACAACACGCTTTTTTGATAAATCCGAGCATTTAAGTTTTATTGAAAAATTAGGCTAAGATTCGTTGCAGACTGTTCAGAAAGATTTTCTTTTACTGCTTCTTGCGTACAAAGATTGTTTTTAGTACGCATAATTCAATAATATTTTTTATTTGAGCATTTACAAGTCATTTAACTGGTTTTTATCAGAAAACGAATTAAATGCAGTTATTTCGTCAAATTCACCTCTGTTTAACTTAACGACAATATTTGAACTGTGTACTTAGATAAACAATAAACAGTGGAAATGTTTGTTGTAGATTCATTTACTTTTAACTAAGTGTTTAAGCATTTCAATGTGCTCTTTTCTAACATTTTCCTTGTTTTACGATTGGCACTAATTTTCTCTATCATCCATTGGGTTAATATTTGAGTATTAATAATATTAATAAATAAAATTAAATCTAGACATATAAATAATTACATAAATAATAATTTAATCAATCAATAAGTTTAATAATAAAATTAAACAAAGATCAAAAACTAAATTAAGTAAAAAAATGAGAGTAGTTTGTACTTTAAATGAACCATCATCGAATGTAAAAAATCTTCGTATGTAAGAAATTTTCTGATTTTTAATTCATGTATTTTCAAAACAATTTATCTTTAAAAAAACTGTACTTTTTTAATGAATAAACACCCATATAAAAATGAATAACCCTGTAAATACAAGTCCCTCCCCCTTTCCTTCTTTTCCTCAAGAAACTTGTTTTTTTGGGCTAAAGTACTCACTCAAATATATACTTTGCGTATTTTATAGTGGCTAACTTGTTTTAAGCTAATGAACTTTGATTATAAGTGTTTTAGCTTTAAATTGATTCTATTTAAGAATACGCGCGTGTAAGAATAAATTCCATAGGAGTTGAAACCCTTATTGAATTTGTTCAAACATCTTATCTAATTCCTGATGATAAATTATTTAATTAAAATGTATTGGTAAAGTTCATATTTTATATAATGTTTAAGATTTCTAAAATGTGTGTTAGTTGCACGCTGAAAAAAATTTCAGTCTCATTTTAAAATTTCTTGACCCCAAAAACTTGACTATAATGGAAAATTTGCATTATTCGGCCAAATACCAAATAGTATAAAAAGTTGCCAAATACCAAATAGTATATAAAAGTATATACATATATATATATATATATATATATATATATATATATATATATATATATATATATATATATATATATATATAATATATATATATATATATATATATATATATATATATATATAGCACATATATATACAGCACTCTCTTACATTTCTTCCTAAATCAGAATGATATCTGGTCTCATTTGTTTGAAGAATCAATAACTCTTATTGACTCATAGTATTTTTTGTTTATCTAATTAGTTAGCAGCAAAAATTTCGAAGAAAAATTTGAATTCTTGTCAAAATATATAAAAATGCACTGAAATATTGTTACTCTGGTTATGACTCAGTATAATATAAGAAAACTACTTTCAGATTACAAAGAGATCTAGAAGAGCATTAGTAATGACTTTAAGCAATCCATAGAGTAAATAAACCAGACAATCATGACACTGAAGCTTGTTCAAAACATTTTCTATCAAACTTCCAAGTTATTTAAGTACAAAGAAGAGAAAGACCTCGAGATCCACCTACTGTATTGGAATTAATTTCCAAGAGTTTAATGCCAAATCATCTACCAGAGAAAATAAGAACAACGGAAGCAGAATCCTCTTTAAGGTCAGTAAAAGAAGAGGAACTTCTAAAACTAGTAGACCTTAGCAAAATTGCTTCATATGAAAATGTTTGCAACTCGTTAAAGTTAGATGGCTAAGTAGTATAGTCTTTTATTTTTGACTTTTTAATTGTACTTGTTTAACCAGCAGTTAATCATTATCAGAATTAATCAAAAAGGCTTGAAACAATACTGGTAGTAATCAATTTTCTTTATTAGTAATTAATGACTTATCATATGAAGCTTATAATGCAGGAGTTAGATGTATTACCACCTCATTAGTTTAAAATCTTAAGTTCAAATGTTTGTCACAAGTTCTTATTAGTTAAAAATCTAACTCAAAAGTTTAAATGTTGATCACAAGTTCTCATTAGTTAAAAATCGTACTCATAAGTTTAAATGTTGG